GGTATTTCTGAATAATACTTCAGGTAATACTTTGATGTGTTTGTGGTGGGGCATCGGCCAAGGATTTTTTTCACATATATCATAAAGGGTAGTTCTATTACAATTAGGGGCAAATATAGTCAACATGTGGGTATACCACTAGTGTAGAGACGGACTCCCTGCTGCATGAGTGCTAATAGGGGCTGCTAAATAATCATTAATTATTTATTTCTTTTTTTGCTGAGTAGAAATAAATTAGTGACCATAATGAAACTTAGGCAGTGGAGAAAGGGGGTGGGGGAGAGGCGGCATAATTTCTAAGCTATGGGTAATTTATGCATGTGTAAACTTTGACTAAGTTATTGTTTGTTAGGACGCGCTTTTTTTCCAGTTATTTTTCTTTGTACTTGCCTTTTCAATCAAATATTTTGCTATGGCAATATGACACAGTATAACAATTTTTGGTATCCGCAAGGACATCGACTGCTAAAACAGTTTTCAAACAATTATAAGTCTTTTAAACTAACTTATATAACTTATCTGATTAAAAGAGTGTTTATTAGATATAATCTTTTATTGCGTTTTATCATATATATTCTATTTTAAGAAGATGGTAAAGAAAACTGTTCAAATCTTCTACTATAGGTTGTGGGCACCCTAAAAACCAAAATAAAATTTTATTCAATTAAAATAGTGCTTCAGAATAAACTTAATTTTTTTTTCAAACGTTAACTTGACTTTAAAATATGTTTGCTGGCTATCAGTTGTCCTGGAACCTTGCGATTGATTTTTCACGACCTTCCGGACTAGCTAGAGCTCTAAAACTTCTAGCATTTGTGTAAATTTAATAAGAGTACATTTTTTAAGAGCAAACTGTTTTTAGAGCCAACATAGAACTTGAATTTTTTGAATCACTTTTTTCTTTTGATTTTACTTTATCTTTCGGACTTTACTTTGATTTTACTTTATCTTGACAGCATTTATGTAGTCCCGATGAACATGCATGTTAAATTTGTTTCCTGGGCAATGGCAGTCGTATCCTTATTTTTTTTATCTAATATTTTTTTTCTTCAAAGTTGGGGTTTATAACATTCTAGAAAAGAAGATTTTTTGCAAAATAGCTTTGAACTATTCCAACTATACTTCAAAACTTACCAATGCTAAATGTACAAATTTACTAACTCATATGCATATATAAAAGTTTGGGGGTGGGGGATACCCCTTTTACCCCGCGTTCAGGACGGCCCTGGTCAGCCCTGGTCGTAACAACCATTCTAACAAAACTGAAAATTATTATTTTTTGTTTATTTATTAATAGCCATTCATAAAACTGTTGCCTGGAATGAACTAATTTCAATTAGTCTATTCAAGACAACAATGATTCTTTTATTATTCTATTATCTAACAATTATTCTAGTTAGTCATTTCTAGAAATACCTTTCACTTTGGTCAGATTGGTTTTTAACAACAACCACGCTGAATAAAAAGAAGCCAAAATACATAACATAGAACAAAATTGCAAAATGCAGAGCCATTTTCAAAGTAAAAACAATAAACCAGACAAGACAGTCTTTAAAAAAAAACTTAAAAAGAATAATTAAAAAAAATATAAGTTAAAAAAGTAAAAGTAAAAGTAATTAACTTAAATAAAATTTTTATAACCACAACATATTAAATTGTTATATTAAATAAATTAAAATAAGCATTTTAATTTATTTAATATAGCAATATAAAAATGTCTTGATGGTATTTTATCAAACAGATGAACTAAGATCAAATTTTTTTTAAAAACATAAAGTATAAAAGTTAACAAAAGTGCAAACCACAATAATTAAACAACCACATTCCAATCACATATTTAAAATCAGGCCCATAGCAAGCTTTTTTTTTTTTTGAGAATTTATCTATATAAATTTATATATTCATCTTTATGTAAAGCTTTTCAAAACTGTTAACAATAAACTCCTAAAATGTTAACTTCCCTTTCATGCCATTAGTGTGAGAACAATGAGTTTATAATACTTATATATATATATATATATATATATATATATATATATATATATATATATATATATATATATATATATATATATATATATATATATATATATATATATATATAAATATATATATACATATATATATATATATATATATATATATATATATATATATATATATATATATATATATATATATATATATATGCATGGTACTGATGTTAGTGATATCGGTATATAAATATATATATATATATATATATATATATATATATATATATATATATATATATATATATATATATGCATGGTACTGATGTTAGTGATATCGGTATATAAATATATATATATATATATATATATATATATATATATATATATATATATATATATATATATATATATATATATATATATGCATGGTACTGATGTTAGTGATATCGGTATATAAATATATATATATATATATATATATATATATATATATATATATGCATGGTACTGATGTTAGTGATATCGGTATATAAATATATATATATATATATATATATATATATATATATATATATATATATATATGCATGGTACTGATGTTAGTGATATCGGTATATAAATATATATATATATATATATATATATGCATGGTACTGATGTTAGTGATATCGGTATATAAATATATATATATATATATATATATATATATATATATATATATATATATATATATATATATATATATATATATATACATATATATATATATATATATATATATATATATATATATATATATATATATATATATATATATATATATATATATATATATATTTAATATTGAAGATTTAAGTTCATTATAAGTCTCTTGTTATGCAATAATCTTGATAAGTCTCTAATGTCATGCAAAAATCTCTTAGTGTTCAAAAACTATGACCATATAAATTTTGAGCAACATCCCTAATTATTTAGGGGATTTAAAATATTATCTCTAATTAAGTTATAAGTTCGTCGGACAATCAAATTATGTTCATCATTCAACAGTTTAGAGCGAAAGTTAATTTAACTCTTTTTTTCGTGAATAATCAAATGAGACGCAGACTTAAAAAATGACGCAGAATTGAAAAATGACGCAGACCTAAAAAATAACGCAGACTTAATCGAAGAATAGCAATGGAAAGTTTTTATAGGTGACAAGATCATTTGTATTTTCTATCAATATCATAATATTGTTCAAATTATCCTTATTTTATCCTTATTATTATTATTATTATTATTATTATTATTATTATTATTGCTATTATTGCTATTATTATTGCTATTGTCATTATTATTACAATTATTATTAATAGTATTATTATTATTATTAATATTATTGCAACTAACTATAACACCAGATGTGCGCAAAACGTTGTATATTAAATATTGTTAAAAATTGAAATATTGTATCATCAAATATTGTTAAAAATTGAAAAATATGAAAAATCAGAGTAGTGTAAAGATTATGTTGAAAATCTAATTAAATAATTTAATTTTCAATAACTATTTTAGTTTAAAATAACCACTTTTTTAATAAAATGATGGACCTGAGACGTTCAGGTACTCGAAGGCTCAGGTACTCGCACACAAGTTTGAAAAATGTTTTTGTCAAGTTTAGCCAATATCTTTGTCAATTTTTATTATAGAGTCTCCAAATTTCGAAAGGCTTTTTTTGACTTCGTATCCTCGATCATTGACTAAAACCAAAAATCCTGAGGAAAATTGATATGGATAGCCAAATTTTTTACAAATTTCATCTTGGACAAACTTGACAGTTTTCTTGGCTTGATGGGCTGAAGCAGAATTTTGTTGAGAAGACCAATACTTTTTCTTGGAACAGGGAAGCAAATACTTACTCAAAAATGCAAAAAAGACTTCTGAGTTGACTGAACAATTGGAACACCGTTAAAGAACATTATTTAGGTTGTAATAACGTCGGATTAACGTTGGGAATGGAAAGGATGGATAACGTTAGACTTTACAACATTAATATATACTTAGTATATATTAGTATATTATACTAACATTTTCTAAAAAAATATTCAAATATAATAAAATTTAATTTTTTTCGGTGGAAAGTTAAAATTATTAATAATAATTTAGTATTATATTTATTTTTCATTAAGTAAATATTAGTTTGAAGTATCTAACTTCTTGACTTATAAACGAAATCCTCGTCCAAAAAAAGTGGAATATTTATTAAAAATAAAGTACATCTAGAAAAGCATCAAAACTACACTAGAACTGCATCATAACAATAAAATAATCCCTGTATAGCTACATAGCTATACTAGCTACACTAGAACTGCATCATAATGACAAAATAATCTCTATATAGCTACATAGCTATATTAGCTACACTAGAAATGCATCATAATGACAAAATAACATCAAGTGTTTCTAGGCGAGAAAGTTTCTTTTCAGATAATTGATTTATATTTTATATAACGTTTAAATATGTTTGTTTAGAAATTTATATATAAAATTACTATACCAAACTTGCCTTCTAATTGCCTTAATTATAAAAATAATCGAGCTTATTACGATTATTAATTCTAAATACGAGCTAAAATTAAAAAAAAATGTTAATAAATATTAACATAAATTTATGTATAATAAGTATTTATAATCTTGCATATAGTACTTGTATAGAACAACTGTCTACTCTACTACAGTAACTCTCAAATTACCTGTTTTACTGAAGTAACTCTTAGACTTGTTAAACTGTTACTTATAAACAACCTAGCTTTTTAGTTTATTCAAAATCTTTTGAGCACCTAATTTCACAAAAGTGTAAGAAGTTATAAAATTAACTCCTGTCTATAATATGCTTCACCTGTTTTGCTATAAAAAGACCCAATAAAATTTTTGTGTAGCAAATATAAATTCAAGTAATAAAATAAATAAAAACAGAGAAGTTTTTACAGGTGCGCCCCCGAACCCTTGACCTTGAACAATTTATCGAAAAAAAAAAAGCCATACCTAAAGAAACAATAACCCTTATATTAGCAGCTTGTTTTTCACTTTTGTTGCCAAGGTACTTTTTATACTTGTATATTTCAGAAATTGTATCAAGTGTTGGATTATTGGCTATAAACCCTCCATCTATGTAACGATCATTTGGTCGAAAATATACTGGTGCTGAACAAGAATTTCTTACTGATGACCACATCGTTTGGTCTATAATAAGAAATAATTTTATAGGAAAACAAAAATTTATTTAAAACTCTTTTAACAATTTCAGTTTTTTAATAAACTGGTTATTTAATTATTTTCATTAACATTTAATGAAAATAATTAAATAACCAAATATTTAAATGCCATTTGTTGGTCAAATTAATAGTTATTTATGGATTAAGAAGGTAATGAAGGTTGTTGAATTTTATCATCTTTAATTTGATAATTGTCTTCATATGGAGCATCGTAGTTTCGAAAAATATGTAGCATAGCTGGTTTTCTATCTGTTAGCACTGCTGGTATAATTAACCTGTTATAAAAGAACTTTTTAACACCCAAAACGAATTTTTAAATAAATAAATTATTAAAAAATAAATAAAAAAAGGTTAAAAAATTTCTAAAATTAAATAAAAACAAAAAGTTTAAAAAAAAATTACATTATTAATAACTTTGAATTATCAAAAAAAAAACAAGTCTCGGAAAGTATTAAAAAAAAAATAATTAAAAAAGGGCTTCATTGTAAAAATGATTGACGAAGAAGAAAATGAATCACTCAGTCTAAATCCATTAGACCTCCTGGATCACTGGCCACCCATCCTTGGCAAAGCATCCGTTATCACTAAGAGCAACTCAGCCATGAAAAAAGTGCCAAAACTCTTAAACATGTTCTCGAGAGACTGGCAATAATTGAAAATGAAAACACAATTCTCAAGATCAAACTTGAAGAATTGAAGTAAGTCCCTACTTCTACCCAAACAATGCCACACAGCCCAATTAACAGCTTTGCTTCTCAACTCGCCAAACCTAGTTCAACGGCTAGCGTCACTATTATAAAAGCTGTCACTTAAAAAACCAAACTTCAACAAATCAAAGCGAAACGAGACGTTATCGTTGGCCTGCCGAATCCAATTGAAGACACTCAAAAAGCAGAAAACGAGTTAGAAAAAGAAAAACAGGTATCGGGATCATTGAAATTCGTAAAAAGTTGTATCTAACCTATAGAATCGTTTGTGAACAAACCTTCTACTCCGGCACCACTCATTGTAGAATTAAAATCGAAAGAATCTCGTAACAACCTACTATCAATAGCCAAAAATATCGCTTCGTTTGAAAACTTCAAAAACATCTGTATCCACCCTGACCACAATCTAGCTGAACAAGAAAGTTTTTGCAAACTTAAAAAAGAGTGAAAAAAGCTCAATGATGACCTAAAATTAAACAACTGTTTTAACCAGCTCTTTCAATTTGTCATCCGCAGCGACCGAGTTCGTTGTATCGATATCACCGCTGAAAAAGTCCTCATCAACGACACAGAGAAATGTCCGTTCGGCAGCTGGAAGGCTGCCATCGAAGCCTCTTAACCAAGATTGGCCGTCTAATACTACAATCCAAAATTCACATCTAAACTTACCAATCACCACAAATCCTTCACTCTCTCCTAAACTTCTTAAAGCCTCTACACGAACCCGACCTCGCTCTTAAACAAATATGATGAACTCAACGTTTTGTTTGTACAGAAGAATTATCCCGACGTACTCTGCTTCTGTGAGACTTGATTTGACATAGAAAGGACAGTTTTGATTGATAACTACTCAGCACCTTCTGCCTCTCTCTCGGTAAGCAAACAGGTATGGGTTCAAGTAAATATTGGTTTTGAACGTATTCTACTAGGTTGCATCTACAGGCCACCAAGATTTGAAGCCACCATTATTAAAATTATCAACAATTTGATGTGTCAAGCGTCCATTCTAATCGAGCAAAAAATATTCACTAAACTTCTCATTGTTGGAGATTTCAACTAACCTGAAATCGAATGGAACAGTTCCGGTGGGTACTCTACCAGTACTAATCTACAAGCTAGTGCGTTCCTTGAAACTATCCAAGATAGAGATAAAGATCCAAGATTCGTTTTAAAACCAACATTCGGCAAAAGTCAAATTGACATAAGGTCGTATTCGAGCTGTTGAGAATAGTGACGGCCTACTAACATTTGACAGAACTGAGATGTCCAACTTGCTGAACAAACAGTTTTTCTCTGCATATAGAAAGGACCTTCACGGTGATCCTCATATTCTTCAGCCACGCAAAATTGAGATCCTCAGCATAAATGAAAACAACTTCTATCTATAAGCCACTATCGAGTTGCGCTGATCGCTGATCTACAAAAAGTTTTTGCTACCGGTGCTGTTCCTGCTTGCTGGAAACAAGCCAACGTAACACTTATTTATAAGAAAGGTTGCAGGACAAAGCCAGGAAAGTATCGTCCAATCTCACTCACATCTATTCCCTGCTAGGCAATGGAGCGTCTAATTTGTGGTTGTATGCTCAAGCATATGATTGACCACAACTTGCTTGACAATAATCAAAATGAATTGGTTCCTGAAAGATCGTGCATGACAAATCTGATCAAGACCTTTAATATTATCTCCAACGCGCTTGAATCTCATCTAGAAATCGTCATGATTTTTTTGCTAAGCCTTCGATAAGGTTAGTCGCTTCTAATTGCCAAATTACGTGCATATGACTTTGACACGAATACCTGTAACTGGATAGCCGCCATCTTAATTGGCAGCACTCAAAGAGTTGTACAAGGTAACTACTTCTCTAGTTGGTTAGAGGTCCTCAGTGGAGTTCCGCAAGGTTCTGTACTAGGGCTTCTCTCTTTCATGATCTTTATTAACGACATGTCAGGCTTCACTCGTCACGTTTGTAAGATGTTTGCCGACGACACAAAACTAATAGCGGTTATAAAGAACACCACTGACTACCAAACTCTCCAAAAGAACATTGACAGTCTCGTCGAATGGACTCACACCTGGTGCATGAATTTTAACGTAGACAAGTTCAAAGCTATGTTCTTTGACAAGGGAATTAATAACCGCCTTAACACTGCCTTTATTAACAACCTACACAGCACGCACATAATCTTCAACATGACCGACCAAATTACGTCACGCTCAAAGCTGGTCTCGTTAAGGTTGTAGTTGTTACCTTTGGTAACAACCACAATTTTAACGAGATCAGCTCTGAGCGTGATCTCAGCATCATTGTTAACGACAAACTCAAATGGCGGGATCAAGTTGCACACTCTGTTGCCAAGGCTAACAAGACACTAGGTATCTTGAGAATAACTTTTCATTATTAGGATATAAACAGCTTTTGCACACTCTATGCAATTTATGTATGGCCACACCTCGAGTTCTACTCTTTCACTCGGAACCTTTATTATCGCGGATACATTGACCCTCTTGAAGCGGTAGCCACTAAGCTCTTGCCTTATCTCAAGCCATTAAAGTATTGTCAAAGACTAACCGCTTTAAAAATTTAATCACTAGAGAATAGAAGGCGTAGAGGTGACCTCATCCAATACTTTAAGATATGCCACGGCATCAACAAAATTGAACTCCGTAGACCAAATCAGAACATGCAATTACCTTAATCTAAATAAACTTCTATATAAAAATCAATTCGGTTTTAAAAAAAACTGTTCAACTGAACAAGCCATTACACAGCTCATTTGTGAAATCTCCAATTCATTTGGTAAATCACAATATACATTAGGTATTTTCATTGACCTATTAAAAGCATTCGACACGGTCGATCACAAAATTCTACTTAAAAAAGTCAAATTTTACGGAATTAATGGCAAATTAATAAAATGGTATAAAAGTTACTTGAAAAATAAAAAACAATTTGTTTTCTATGGAGATTACATGGAAGTATCATATCGATTTTATTTCTACTAAATTGGCTAAAAGTATTGAAATTCTATATAAGGTCAGATACTATCTAAGTAAACAAAACTTAATTCAACTCTACTACTCATTTATTCATAGCTATATAAAATATGCAAATATTGTTTGGGGAAGTACTTTTAAAAGTAAGTTACGAAATCTCTACCATCGTCAGAAACACGCAATGCGTTTAAAATGTTTTGAAAATCATTTTTCTCATTCAAATATTTTATTTAAAAACGTTTAAGTACTTAACGTTTACGAACTCAATATCTATAATATTTTATGTTTTATGTTTCGTTGTAAAAGTGAACAACCATTATCCAATTTCAAAGATCTTTTTACTTATAAAGCTATAAACAAATATGCTTTACGAAATAATAATTTATTAATTGAACCCTTTTGTCATACAAAGTTTAATCAATTTTGCATAAACTATCGAGCACAGTATTTATGGAACAAAATTGTTGTTCCAAATTTTGATTTATCAATTTCGTTTTCCCTTTTTAAAACTAAATTAAAAAACTATATTCTTTCTACTGGCAATTTATATAAATATTTTTGAAATGTCAAATTCTTTTTTCACTCTTGATAATTTGTAAAATTATTTTCAGTTTTTGTTTCTTCTACATTGTTAATAGTTATTAGATCAATTGTAATTTTTTTCATTATATATACACGTATGGTATATTTCATATGGTTCTGGCGACAAGATCATTTGGATCTTCTTTCAGATACCAAGTTTATATATTGTTATATTGTTATACTACGATTAATAATTGTAAACAAATAATTGTAAATTATTATTGTAAACTAAAAAAAAAAAAAAAAAAAAAAAAAATGCTAATAAATTATATATTGCATTTGTGTAAAATCGTGGTTAAACTATTTGTCCGGGGCTAACCTCTAATTTTGAAACTTGCCTTTTTTATAAGTTATATTATATATATATATATATATATATATATATATATATATATATATATATATATATATATATATATATATATATATATATATATATATTAGGGTTATGACTTTTTGACTTAAAATTTTGAAAAAAAAATTAATTTCATGTGTCTTAAATTGATGAACTTTTATTATAAAACTTTGAAAACATGTTCAATTCCTTTCGGTTGTTAAAAAAAGTTCACCTTGCAATTCAAATTACATTTCGTCATTTATTTAATCTTGTTACTGTTACTACTAATACGTGTGGCTTTAAAACTTGTATAGATTAAAAGTGTTTAAAAATTTAGAAAATTTTGAACAATAACAGAATATTTTAGAAGACTTAAGAACATTCTAGAACAATTTAAAACATTCTGGAACAATTTAGAATACTCTAGAACAATTTAAAATACTTTGGAAAATTCAGGAACAATTTAGCACATTCTGGAATATTTTAGAACATTTTAGGCTATATATAGCTGTTCATCTAATTTTATAGTTATTACAGAAGCAATACATGGCGTCGTATAAGCCTAGCGATAGTAGCATTCAGAAGAACAAGCATGTATGGATCAATAGCCTGGTAAAATTTGAAGACTCTCATAAAAGAAGAATTCTCCTTTCG